AATTTTTTTTAAATCTCTTTAAAACTCACAAAATTAAACACAAAAAAGATCAATCAATTTTTTGGTATTTGAAAGCTTTGTCGGACTTAAGGGGTTTGTGGTGTTCATTGAAAATTTTGAACAATAAAAAATATTCTTCTAAGAAAATGAGTAACATATCTCGAAACTAACCTCATTTAACGGCTATCAGAGAGATTGGAGCATTAAAAGGTTGAAGTTTTACATGTATCTTTGTCGAGTTTGAGTGAGTTTGTAACACTCATAGGCCGTATATTCTTCTAAGAAAATGCTTAAAATTTTGTTTCATTTAAGCATTTCCTATTTAAACTTTAAAAACTTTTCCTTAATCGTATAAAATCATAAAAAAAAATATTTAATCGTTGAAAACAAATATAATTTCAAGCAACGATTAAGCAGTTTGATGTTGTTCATAATCTGTTTAAAATCGCCTAAACTCTGTTTGATTTTGAAAATCATTTATAACATAATATTATATATATAAACTATTTAATCATAAATACGAACATAAATAAACTTCCCAAAATAAAATGTAAACCCTTCTAAAATAAATTCGATAAAGCACATCATTAAATATAATTTGCATGTCACTAATAAGTCAAAGATAGGATGTTTTATTGATTTTGTAGGTAGGTTTGATCTCCAAAAGATACTCATAAAACTCCTCACTTCATGTAATTTTTCTTTATTCGAACCTACGCATGAAAATCATTACACACCAAGTAAAAGTTAGTGAGGGAATAATATAACTAAAGTGATATAAAACATAAATTTCGTAAAGTATTATAACATGAAATTGTAATCTAAATGAAAACATTAAAACTTTCAAACTGAGCTATTCAAGTTGATTTCCCTTTAAAAACCTGAAAATCACACTATCATGATTTTATCAAAAATCATGTAAATCAACATCAAATGTCATAAACACTGCATATTCCTTTCATTCGTATATATTTCAGAACTTTCATCTCATTTTCATATTCTTTTCTTTCATATTCCTGTAATATTTTTCATATTTATTTGTATAGCTCAATGTATATGTAAGACAGTATAAGGTACGTGAATAGAATATAAGATGCACACTAGGAACATCACGGTACCAATCATACTGAAACATATAGTACACTCCAAGTGCAATCATAATATAAGCACAATGGTGCAGATCATAATGTACACGAATGTACCATAAATGAACCGAAAAGTACTCAACTTAATGGCATGTCAAACGTACCTAAGACTCTCAATGCAACATATAATGGACTTTTATATCATATCATAATCATTTAATAATCAACCTTTCAGAATCAGAAATATTGTTAAGTCTCATAAAACATAAACTTGGAAAGTTCATACCCTAAATCATCCATAAAATATTCATAAAAATATTATGAAAATAATATATAATTAAAATAGAAAACATACTTGAAAATAATGTGTGGTTGACTTATCACAAGTTTCATTCATTTAAAATAAATAAATCCACTCATTCCAACACTTTACTTATAAATAAAAATATAAGTCTCATTAAGCTTTAGATTAAATCATTTGCTTTCAATTGCTTCTACTACAAAGTCTATCGAAATTTCATACTCTAGCAATTTGCACTACCTTCAAATAAATATTATTTTGTATTAAACTTAAAACTTATTCTGTTTATACCACTAGAAACTAGACTTGAATACGAATCTAACCTCATAAGACACTTCTTCTAGTTCAACTTGTACAATTTATAGCAAATTTTCAAAGCTGACTCACCGAAACTATTTTGAGCAGAATCTGATGCCTTGTTTCCTGACCTATCCTCGATTTAAAATTCATATCTTTTTATATACACCTCAAAATCAGTAGTCGTTTGTTTTAAACGAAACTAGACTGACATACGAATCTAACATTATATAGACCATCCTCTAATAATTTTTGGTGATTTTCTAAACTTATTGTTCAAATCATAATTTCTAGGCAACTTTACTTATTTTGCAGCCTTAACTTATTCCATAATTTTATTACCTACCAAAAGAACATATAGACTTGAATTGTAATTTACATAACATTAGGAGTCACATCTTACTGTAGTAACTCTGACTCTAGCTCATCACAAGTCAATGTTGATTCGATAACATAAATACAAATGAAATACACCCACCGTTGTCGCTCTACCGAATTTTATACGATACTTCTTATTCACGGGCTTTCTCCTTTCCTTTTGGGTCGTTAGGAATGCTAGATTAATCGTGGTCTGACAACGTGACATAATAACATAGCATATCCAACTATATGTTAGTATCGAACTAACATAATCCAAACTTAAATATAAAATTCGATATAAATAAAATCGATACTTAAATTGATATAAAACTAAATCGTACTTACAGTAATTTCAAACTTCTCAAAATATTCACTAAATTCTATAAATATTTATTTCCACTATCAACCCTTCAACTTGTGTCAATTACACAATCAAACCACTAATTATGAATTCTTTCTAAAATTCATCTTAACTTTTCCATTATAATTATAATGATCCTTCACTATTATGATCATTGCACATTAATTACTAAAACTTCCAGCATCTTAATGAAATACTCAAATCCACATTTTAACATTAAAAAACTTATAATTTCGTCCTAAACTTTCTTCGACTTTTCGAATTTAATCATCCATCTTTATAAACTTGCAATTTGGTCCCAACTCAATATTTAAACTCAAAAATCAGCATACTAATAAAATTTCCAGCAATGTAACATTTTACCCAATGATACTTTCACATTTAATAAGCTTGCAACTAAGTCCCTAAAGTGTCAAAACCTTTCAAATTCCACCTTGAAATTTACTAAATTTGCAATTTGGTTCCAAACAACTTTCCAACTTAAAATTCCAGCATTGCATAATTAAAATTCAACATTTAACACCCCAATTATCACATTCTTTCTGTAATGTCCCACAATTCTCAAAACTTGTAAATTAGCTCTTTTACTATCTCAAGGTTCCAAATCACATAGAACACTTCTAATATCAATTCTAAACCATAAGAAATTTTTCAACATTCCCCCTAATTTTTCCCTTATGGTCGAACCTACCTATACAACTAGGACTTGATATCCATTCAATTTCAAACATGAATTCAACTTCCTTACCTCAATTTCATGCTAAATTAATCATCACAACATCAAATTTCAACAATTCTCCATAAACCATAATTAGGAAAAAAATCATTTAGGCTTATACACATAATTTTAATCCTCATACATACTTTAAAATTAATCTCCAACATCAAAAAACATTATAATAATCCTTCATCAAACCCTCAAAATCACAAACCATACATAAACCCTAATTTTCAATCTATTCAAAATAGACATGATCACCATGAAATATATGCCAAATGATAGAGAATTTCATGTTGTCTAATAGCTTAATCGAAAAATCAATCAAATAAACTTAAATATGAACTTGAAATTTCTTACCTCTTTTTGCTATGCTGCTCACGGTTTTGCTGGAGGAGAAGAGAGAAATTCTCAAGTTTTCTATCTTAATTAACTAATACAAATGTCATAAATTAATATGATTGAATATAAAATTCAATTAATGTAAAATTATCATTTTACCCTTAATGAAACATGGTAATTTCAACTTGCCATTGCATTATCATCCATTATAACATTCCAAAGTCAAAGATGAACAAATAAAAATTCACTTTTCATCTTTGCTCTTTCAATTTTTTAAAAATTGTATTTTTGTCACTAAATTCCATTATTTAACCAAATCTGAAAAATTACACTGATAGGTGCTAAATTTATTTGATCTAAATTATGAAAATAATATTTCCAACCCTTATCTATCATCCTTCAAATTTTTGTGAAATTCTGGTTCGATCCGATTATCTGATTTCTATACCGAACTTTATCTCTTTATAGCTTTTAACACAAATCCCGTACCGAAAATCCGATTCACACAAAAATTCTTGTTTTAGGCCAAATTATTCATTTACGGGATAAAATATATAACTTTTCAAAATTATATTTGTGGTCCCTAAACTTTTATAAAGTTTATACTTTAGCCACTAAACTTTCAAAACTTACAATTTAGTCACTAGTCAAAATTTGGGGTATTAAAAGTTTCATAAAAAAACTAGATCGAGGAGAAGAAGTGGAAAAAAAATGTGAAAGTTTTGATATCAATCTTGTTATGAATGACAAGAATCGATCATCGGTGACAAGAAGAGTAGCTTAGTGTTTTCTATGGAAAATGAAAAATAACCATAATGTCATCACATCGTTATCAATTTAGAGATACAGCGACAAAAAATCATTTAGAAAAAAATATTGATAAAATTGAATTTTTTATAGTTTAATGATCAAAACGAGACATAATCTAAAGTTTAGTGACTAATAGTGTAGTTACCCTAATTTATAAAACAAAATGTTATAATTTATATTATTATTTAATAATTTAAAATGTTTTTATTTAAACCTAATTATACAAAGTATATATTACTATGAAAAAATAATCTTTAATATTATAATAAATAGTGATCTAAGAAAATAATAATAAAATTCAAAGGATAGCCTTTATACGAAGTAATTTTTTTTTTTCAGATTTTGGTTCCCTTTCAATAAACCCTACACAAATTATAACTCCATGAGTGATTAATTGATAAATAAGTAGGTTATTTCAGGACAAACAACAAGACACCTACCTTTTATCTTTTAATTTTGCTTTTCTTAAGCATTTTCATTTAAATTTGAGCTGAGACCTCATATTCAGAAAGAGATACAATTTGCCCCTGCTCCCAACCATCCTACCAGTTTCTTGCTATTGAAGCAATCAAATGCCTGATTCACATGGCTAATTGCAAAGCTTAAATTCCCATCATTTAATGCTAAAGTTTTGCTTCAGAATGCAGAAAACTAAGACATTTTCTTTAAATAAATAAGATGGAAATGAGGAAAATAAACATACCATGAGGTGTGAACAACCAGTTGGTAAGACATTTCCAAAGCCATGTTCTTTCCCTTTTTAAACACAAAGCAGTAATGCAAAACAGCTTACGGATTACGAGTTCTTTGCGTTGATGACATTCCGGGAAATGGGATTCGATCAATAAACTGAAATGTGTTATTATCGATGTTGGAGAAGCTGCCTATTTCCAGGAATGAAGTCCATATGTGGTCTGGTTGTTGTTCTGTTTCTTGTTATGCTTCCTTGTGCAGGTAGTGTTTCTGCAATTAGAACTTCATGTTTGATCTATTTTATTACCTTTGGTTTCTGATTCTGTGTTTTTTTTAATCTTTTTATGTTTTTAGTTGGATATGATCCATTGGATCCAACTGGAAATATAACAATAAAATGGGATGTTGTCTCTTGGACAGCAGATGGCTATGTGGTGAGTTTTTCCTTTTTAGAAGAATATGTTATTGTAACCTTATATGATGATGTCCGATATTCATGTCCGACACATTCAAACATGATCGTATAGATCGATGTATGAATCCGAGAAACATATAATTTTTTTAAACAGGGAGAAGCGTTGATCATGGTGTGTATTGATCTTTTGTGATTATATCAGGCTGCAGTGACAATGAGCAACTTCCAAATGTATCGTAGCATCGTGAGCCCTGGTTGGACCCTAGGGTGGCAATGGGCTAAGAAAGAAGTGATATGGTCCATGGTAGGGGCACAAACCACTGAGCAAGGAGACTGCTCCAAATTCAAAGGAAATGTGCCTCACTGTTGTATGAAAAAACCTGTAGTGGTTGATTTGCTCCCCGGAGTTCCTTACAACCAGCAGTTCTCCAATTGTTGTAAAGCTGGTGTCGTGTCTGCTTGGGGACAAGATCCTACCGGCTCCGTCTCGGCCTTTCAGGTGAGTGTTGGACTTGCAGGAACTTCGAACAAGACGGTAAAACTTCCCACGAATTTCACTCTGCTCGGTCCGGTACCAGGCTATACTTGCGGACCTGCTAAAGTCGTGCCTTCCACTGTCTACCTCACACCTGATCATCGGCGAAAAACTCAGGCATTGAGTAAGCATTGTTCCACCTGCAATATTAGTACTGAAATTACTGAAGTTAACGTTTTCCATTGTTTGCAGTGACATGGAACGTGACATGCACTTATTCGCAATTTCTTGCCTCAAGGAACCCGAGTTGTTGCGTTTCCTTCTCATCTTTCTATAACGAGACTATCACACCTTGCCCTAAATGCGCTTGCGGTTGCCAGAACAAAAACAACCGTGTTGTGTAAGCCTCTCGATCGAACTGTATATTCAAGTGTGTTTATATTACAAATTCGGACAATAACTTCATTCGCCGTGCTCAATGCTCATGATGGTTCGATTTTTCAGGAGTGATTCAAAGCAGGCACATAGGAAAGGGATAAACACTCCAAGGAAAGACAATGCACCATTGCTGCAATGCACGCATCATATGTGCCCTATAAGGGTGCACTGGCACGTGAAGCTCAACTACAAGGACTACTGGCGTGTAAAGATCGCGATCACGAATTTTAATTACCGGATGAACTACACACAATGGACGCTCGTCGCACAGCATCCGAATCTCAATTCCGTCACTGAAGTCTTTAGTTTCGATTACAAGCCTCTAGTGCCATATGAAGCCATAAGTGAGTGCCTGAGACTCGTTTCTGTTTAACGAAACTCTTTGCAGAAGTAACCTAGATAGCAATATGGAACCCAGACTCAACTAACACCTTGATCAACTCGATTTATGCAGATGACACTGGCATGTTTTACGGTATGAAATTTTACAATGACTTGCTAATGGAAGCAGGGCCCCAAGGAAATGTTCAGTCTGAGGTGCTCCTGGGGAAGAACAAGGACACATTTACCTTCAAGCAGGGTTGGGCGTTTCCTCGGAAAGTCTACTTTAACGGGGATGAATGCTTGCTACCACCTCCGGATACCTACCCTTTTCTACCAAATTCTGCCTATGTAAATCCAATCGCAATGTCGACAATGGCAACGGCAACAGTGCTTGTGTTACGTTAATCCTGTAGAGGCAATATGGAGTGAAGACTATTTTAAGAAACAACAGATAAAGAATAGCCATTTGTTTACCGTAAAGCATCAATCGGGTCCGGTTGGAATGATTCATGTAGTTGTGAGAAAGAAAGAAGCTTGAGAGCTGCATCAATAGAGCATCATGCTATAAACTTGTTTTATGGATATTCTACAAACAAATCGATCCTGTGTATCATGTGAATAAAACGTGCAACAAAAGCAGTTGACACTACAAAGAAATGGTGCAAATTACAACCCTGATACATAAATAATACACCAAATGGTCATTCGGACCAGAGAAAGAACCCCATCAACTTGATTGTTAAAAGCTTCAGTGTGATAATACAAAATCAGATGCAAACTGGACGTCAATCGTCGAACGGATAGTTTTAGTGGTCTCACAGACGGTATTCATCACATATAAGCCCATATGAAGACACATGATGCCAAGATTGTCATGATTGGCTGTAGTAGAGAGATAACTGGCCTGAAACCGGTATTTGGCAACCAGGGGTAGGCGTCAGGAGGTGGCATGACACAGTTATCGCCGTTGAAATAAATCCTCCGTGGAAAAGCCCATCCCTTTTCGAAAGTGAAAGTCGATGCATCTTTTCGGAATAATAGTTCTGATTGCACGTTCCCAAGAGGACCAGCTTCTTTGAGGAAATCATTATAGAACTTAAGTCCCCATAACATGGCTGTATCATCTGCAAAAGAAAAGTTTATTCTATCCAGTTAATGAACGGATTCTGGAAAATGAAATGATGCTACTACCATGAAATAATTAACGCGAACTTTGACTTACTTAAGCCGGCATATGGAGTTAATGGTTTGTAATTGAAGCTGAAAAGTTGAGTAAGATTGTCGAAGTTGGGATGTTGCGCAACAATATTCCACTGCGAGTAATTCATTGCATAATTGAAATTGGTGATTGTGATCTTCACACGCCAGTATTCCTTGTAGTTGAGCTTAACATGCCAGTGGATTCGAACCGGACACATATGGCTTGTACACTGAAGCATGGGTGCAATGGTAGATTTGCCTGGTCCCGAAACAGCTGAAGCTAAATGTGAAGACTTTTCACTGCAAGGTGCCATCACCAAAGAAAATAAATACAACTCTGCAAAATGTTAAAGGACAATTATTGGGAAAGGGACAGAAAAAACTTACTTTACACAACTCCCAGAGTCGGTTGCGTTATTACAGCCGCAAGCGCATGTCGGGCAACCAACAATGGTGTTGTTATAGAAGGAAGAGAGCGAGACGCAACACGTAGGTGTCTTCTGTGCCAGGAATTGCGAATATGTGCATGTGACATTCCATGTCACTGCAATTAAATGCAGTTAAGATGAGACTTAAATCAGAAGATCATTCCTCCAGTCTGAATTATTACTAATAAAAAAATAACTTACTCATAGCTTGTGTTATTCTCCTTTTATCGGCTGTTATGAATTTAGTCGGTTTCCCAACCTTTGCAGGCCCACAAGTATATCCCGGACCTGGCGCTTTCAGGGTAAAGTTTCTAGGCACTCTCACAGTTCTGTTAGTCGTTCCTGCAGCGCCCACACTAACCTGAAATGAGCTTGCTGCATTGCCGGGGTCTTGAACCCACGAATTTAACACCCCGCCTTTGCAGCAATTTGCAATCTGCTGGTTATAAGGAGTTCCGGGCAATAAATCCACAACCGTGGGATCCTTTTTACAGCAATGCGGGGTATTTCCTTTGTACTTTGAACAATCCCCTTGCTCTGTAGTCTGGCCTCCCATCATGCTCCAGATTACTTCCTTTTTGGCCCATGTCCACCCTAATGTCCAACCGGGTGCCTGAATATGGCGATACTGTTGGAAATTGTACATTGTAACAACAGCCTGCCAAATACATATGGAGGATAAATAACATCATCAATCATAAGAAGTAAAAGATAACTTTTTTAACTGCAAAATAAAATTTCATGGAACTGCAATGCTGAATTGGTATGTTTTCACTCCAAACGTCATAAGCTCTGAATGTGTCGAAGAAGAATCTATAGTTTCATTGAGCTTCAAAAGAAAATGGAAAACACAAAAAGCAATGTGGCATCGATTGTTCTTTAGGCGGTTGTATACAACATATTCGTATGTATGTATGTATGTATAAGCGATGTCTTTTGAAGAACTTTAAATTAGATCGAACACAACACGGAAAAAATAATGCCTTGATCTAAACTTCTGGTAGAAAGTTGATTCTATTTAGATTTTGAAGGCAAGTCCTTAGCCTTTTGTAACATAAAAGAAAATGAAGCCTCGGTAACACTTACAACATAGCCATCCGGGGTCCAGCTTATTATATCCCATTTGATAGTGATATTGCCAGTTGGATCGAGCGCATCATAAGCATCTGCAGAAACAACCAAGAAAAGCTCTCAAAACTACAAATTACAAGACATTCATCGTTGAATTTTGATTGAAAACCATTGATGATGATTTAGATCTGAAACTGGATCGAAATCCATAATCAACATGAAAAAGATATAAGTTTGCACATCGATAGCAGCTTCCAATATAGAGTCATAGACCATTGGTCTGTCAAGCATTACTGAATAGAATGGACACATATAGGATCCAAATAAGAAGCAAAATGCTAAGATAGCCTAATGGCAAAGATGTAAAGCAGATTCATAATTCCATAAGCTATGATTGTTATGATGTTGACTTCAATTCCAAGCTTCGATAACCATCTCTTGCATTAGCAGACTATATCAGTTAACACTGTACAATTTAACATACACTTTTGTCTGCACATATATAGATTCTTGGTAGTTTTTTTCCCTCTCTTTTTAATTGGTAAAAAAACACATAAATCTTGTGTTCAACACTTCACCTCTGTAATTAGTCCATTCTTTCCTCTCTTTGTTATTCAAAAAACCCCAAATTAGGCGGTTTTCCAACAAGAATGGAGACAGTAAATGATGCAAAATAGACAACTGAATCCAACTTTGCAAATCAAATCAACGCATCACCTAGATCAAGTTATGAAGCTAATTTAAGCAACCATTTTCCTTTTACCTGAACAATCTCAAATCCCAGAACTAAAACAGTGAAAACAAACAAGCTTAAGAAAAACTCAGATTTAGGTATAAAAAAATGATATGCTGGAGGCTTACCGGTAGAAGTGAAAGTGGAGCAGGAAAACAAGACGAAGAATAAAACGGTGAAGCTAAGGAGATTGGAAATGACAGTCTCCATGACTGTTGATGCAGAGCTCGATTAGCTTATCGGATCCTTTTCTTTACGAGGTGATTAAGCTTAAGATCTGCACAAAAACGACAGCAAGAAAGATCCTTCTCACATCATACGGAAAGACAGAACAGAGAGCTGGTTCATTGAAAGTTCAAAGTGGATTTATAAAAGCATCTGGGTACTGTGTCTGAGTATGAGACAGACAGAGATCCATCCATCTGCGTGCAAGCTGTCGGTTACCACTCGTTGGTTAAACATGCAGCCTGGAATCACCATCGTGCCCTTTCTTCAATTATTTCCATAACGAAAGGAGTAGTTGTTTTTTAACTAATTGGCAAGCATATTATTAAAAAAAAAAAAGCCCAAGATAGAGAAATTATTTCCCATAACAAAATATTTTATTTTTTTAACGATGATGTTTTAAATTAATAGTTTAATAATTATTTGAACATTAAATGATGTAATCTAATATTTTAACCTCCGTGGTGTAACAAGCAGAGGGGTAGCATTGGAATTGAGCCCTATTTTACTATTTATATTTAGAGTTAATATATTTTTTTGGACTAATTTTATTTCAAATTGATTTTTGATATTTAAATTTTTTTTATTAAAAGTAAATGTCTAACGTTATATTTTTAGATATTTAAATTGTAATTTTAATTAAATTTAGTTGTTATCTAGCACGTGTCACACACATAAAATTTTAAAATAATTATTAAAAAATATTTATGTTATAATTAAAAAAATCTCAAAATTTCATTGTCAATCTGTCATCGTCGGTATTTAGCTATCATCGTTGACATTGTCAGAACCACCTAACTGTTGCTACCACAATAAAATTTTCACCCATCGTGAAATTATGCCGATTGTCGTAAAAAGCGTCGCGAAGAGTCGTCAGTTTTCTAAGTTTTTCTTCGTTGTTTTTTGGCGATTCCGATAATTATAGTTGATCGTACGTTACACAATTACCATTAATGAATTCCTTATCCTGCTCCGAACAAAATTCAACCGATAGTGATCTTTTCTCGTTGTTAGAGATGGAAAATAGGAGCGAGAGGACGACGCAAGATGTTTGATTTTTTTTCTTTTTTGAAAAGAAAAAATTTATTATTAAAAATGTATAACCATAACTGTACCTACTGTCGGTGGGATTGTTTATTAGGAAAAGGAGAAGTTTTGTTCAAGCACTATATTATTATTCCAACTGCCAGGCTCTTAGCTATTTCTATTATTAATATATGATGCTTCTCGTCACAATGTGGACCACATTGAATAAAATTTCTGCAATTTCTTGGAAAATATGTCATCCACAATGTGGCCCATTTCAATCAAGGTTTTTTGCCGACACTTTTTTTTCATTTTTTTTTCAATTTTGGACCCTCCAAAACCACCATCCTCACTTTCTTTTTATTCTTCAAATATTTTCCATAAATTAGTAACTATTTTTTAATTTATTTATAAATTGATAATGTTGTGATAAGATTCTTCATGAACAATTTTGGTCGATAATTCAACATCACTCCAGCATCTTTCTTGTAAAAAAGGACAAAAAGTATAGTAAATATCCAGCTAAAGTAATTGTTTTCTTTTGTCAACAGCAAGCCTCACATGGGCTCCTCTTGGCCCCCTCCGAGCCATATTGGGTTTGCTAAGAATCACTTGAGGCTTCAACCTTTAAGATAAAAGGGTTCGCACCCTCTGACCGGAACTCCGACATACACGTCCGTTCAATTTTCGGAAGGGGAACCCTGAGCACATGGGATGATCATAAGAGCTTAATTCAACTAACCTGGCAAAGCATTGCCGCCCATGGAATCAGTAGAATTCATCCTATCAATCATCTCATCGCCTTCACCAACTTGCGAAGCCTGATACAAATTCCGAATCAAAATCAAGAAGCTGTCGGCATTCGGACAACAATCCCATTCCCCCATCCTAAAAAATAACTTCATCGCAGCCTCGGTCTTCCTGATCTTACAAAGATTATCAAGCAACACATTAAGTCTCCACATTCCTTGGAAGCCCATAAAAGTCCATATCAAGCAGAACTTTCTCAGCTTCCGAATGAAGTCGGAATAGATCTTTTCCCCTACAAAGCTTACAAACACAATCGAGCATTGCATTATACGCCATTGCACTAATCTCAAAACCTCCCCCTATACATTTCCCCAGCTAATCTTTTGGCTTCCTCAAACTTCCCATCAACACACCAACCTTTGATCAATAATTGATTTAACGAGACTAGATATTAAATCTTTTAAGTAAGATATTCAAATTCTAAAATGTAGTAATAGAATACTTCAACAATTGAAAGTTGAACCAGATGAAAGAACAATATTCTGAAAATTCTTCGACGGTCTCGGATATCACGATCAACTTGAACTCAGGCACAAAATTAAAAACCCAAACACTAAGCCTATGACAACTCAATGGTGTTCTACAAAACCTACACTTCATACTATCCAAGTTTTTTTTTTGGGTGGGGGGGGGGTACACATCATACTATCATAGTTTCAACATATTATTAAACACAAAATAAAAACCCAACCTTTTCTTGACATCGCACAAGCCCAAGTTGTACTCGGAGTCTGTTGGAAAAATATGTGATTGTTGTGTTTTCCTCAGTGATCCATCACTTTTCAGCCGACTATTCGTTTCTTTAACGGACCCACCGAACACTGATACACGTGTCCACATGCCATTTCCACTTTTTATTTGTTTGCATGAACTCCTAATCCACTCAAAGACTCGAATCCCTTGCCCAAAGCCTGTGTGTTCCCTTCAAAGATTGCGGCTTTCCCACTCAAAATCCTTTTTCTTTTTCAAGAACAACTACAAGAAAGAGAAATGAGGTGGGAAAAGGTTCCGCTTAATCAACAAGAATCTGGAGGTATCGGAGAAGCATGTTCGTGGCCAGGCAAAAGATGGGGACACACTTGTAAGTTGTAACTCCATTAAAGGAGGCAGATTTCTCTATGTTTTTTGTGGTTATGGCAGATATAATTGCCAAACCAATCAAGTTCATGTCTTTGACACTGGTGGGTCCTTTTGGGTTTCTTTTCTTTTTTCTCATTTCGTGTTTCGTCTTTACGTTAGATTTTGAGGTTTACTCTTTACAAGGTGGTTATCGTTTGGTGTTTAAGATGCAATGGTTGTATTAGATATGTTTTCTTAATTGATTCCCTTGGTGGATATGTTGTTGAAGTTTACATTCTGGGGATTTTATTGGGTTTATCTTGTTATAAAGCATTTTGATTTTGTTTATGTGGAACCTTGGTGTAGCATTGATGATTTGATATGTGCTTGGTTTAGCATGATATTGTTGGCATAAACTTTTCTTTCTTTTTGTTTGGTTTTTTGAACCATTGTCCCCGTATAATGATCTTATGAGTTCACTGGAGATCCTTTAATCACTCTTAGGTGGCGTTTGGTTCGTTGGTAGGAATGGCAAAAATTCCCGAACCTGACGGAGAAAACCGAAAATCGAATTAAATGGGGATGGGGACGAGTTTGGTAATCTCCGTCCCGATTACCCGGCCCGATAAATATTAAAAATAATTATTATATATATATATAATATTAATAAATTTAATTTAATTTAAATTAAAATATATATATATAATATTTATATATTTAATTTAAATATATATATATATATATATATCCGACCCGATACCTGTTTAAATAATCGTTTATGCTAAACGGGGATACTCGTTTCCCCGCGGTTTCCCCCGATTACTCGATGGGGATCCCCGTTTAAATCCCCACGGTTTTTTAAGCGGGAACGAGTATGGATTTTTTAAACGGGGACGGAGATGGGGGACCAATACCCGGCCCGAACCCGGTCCGTTGCCATCCCTATTCGCTGAAATGTTTATGAGAAAATTGAAATCTGTGAAGAAATTGGAATCTGTTAGGAATTAGAATCCAATTTCATATTCTGTTTGGTTGGCAGGAAATGGAATTGGAATCCAATTCCATATTCTGTTTGGTTCGCAGACATGTCAGATGAATTTGATTTCAGTAATGTAAAATGATAGAATTGCCTTTCTTGTTTTTTTTTTTTTTGCTTTATTTTAATTTGTTTTACAACTTACATCTAGTAATATATTATAAAAATTTAAAAAATATTAAATTTTCATTTTATTGATTAATTATTCATTTCAATAAATTATAAAAATCATGCTAATAAACATCATAAGTTAAAATCATCGCAATCAAAATATGTTAATAAGTTACCGAAAGATAGAGCAACATTTCAATACATTCCAATTGGAGTATGTTAATTAGTTACAAAAAAATATACTAAAAACTATTTTTATTCAATATATGAATTAGAAACCCAACCCGACACGACACAAAATAATAAAAAAATTATTTTTATTCAATAAAAATATTGACTTAATTGAAGAAAAAAATTATATATAGAGGGGTATTATTGTAATTATTTCTAAATATATAAGGTAAAATTATATATTTTTTTCGAGTATGTCCAGTTTTTTTTACCCTAAACTCAAACCCGACCCGACCCGACCTGAATATCACACTTAAAAAAACCCGACCCGACTCGACCTGAATATCACACTTAAAAAACCTAACCCGAACAAAATAAAGTTTCACCCGACTCGACCCGAATATATGAATTAGTAATCCGACCCGACCTGAAATAATAAAAAAATATTTTTATTCAATAAAAAAAGTGACTTAATTGGAAAAAAAATATATAGAGAGGGGTATTATTGTAATTATTCCTAAATATATAAGGTAAAATTATATATATTTTTGGGTCGAGTATTTTTCACCCTAAACCCGAACTCGACCCGACCCGACCAAAATAAAGTTTCACCCAACCCGACCCGACCAAAATAAAGTTTCACCCGACCCGACCCGAATATATGAATTAGAAACCCGACACGTATGCCTGTAAATGAACTGAACGTTCAGCGAATCGTTCATTAACCGTGCGGCGGGAAGTTCGTTTATGTGCATTTATTTATTAAATGAACGAACATGAACAAGATTTTGTGTTCGTTTATATAGGTTATGCGATAGATAAGGATAATTAATTAGTATTTTAATATAATACTAACTCTTAGAAAGTTAGATAAAGATAACTACTAAGTAGTTTAGTTTAAATTACTCTTAAAAAGTTAGATAAGGATAACTACTAAGTAGTTTAGTTTAAATTAAATATTGGTTCTCACCTACTATATATACATATTAA